TCGCTGATCCGACTTTCGATGTACCTGCTCCTGTAGATATGCTACTTGGTGCAGACCTATTCGCTTATACCCTCTGTGGTGAACCAATACACTTGGGGCATAATATGCCTACTGCTCTTAACACCATCTTTGGTTATGTTTTATTAGGCCATGCTCCTGTCCAGTTTGACAATACGCGCCCTAGTACCAACACAACAGTGAATCTCCTCACAATTTCAGATTTTGATTTACATAGTGCTGTTCAAAATTTCTGGGCATCAGAAGTAGTACCAACAGCTTCAAAGCTTTCTCCTGATGATGTAAAGTGCAATGATCAAAGTGATCATTGCACTTAAAGTATAAAAACACACTCTCGTCTTCCCGATGGGAAATATCAAGTTCGACTACCATTGAAGCAGAAACCTACAGCTCTAGGAGATTCAGCCAAGTCAGCTTATAGTATTTTTAGATCTTTGGAAAATCGTCTCAACCGAAGTGTCAAACTCAAGCAAAGCTACACTGAATTCATGCAAGATTATGAATCTTCTGGACATATGGTCCTCTGTTCCTCAAGACCAACAGATTCTCATTTATTCCTACCACATCACGAAGTCTTCAAAGATGGAAAAATAAGAATTGTGTTCAACGCTTCTTCTGTTACTACATCAGGGACCTCACTCAACAGTATCTTACATACAGGTCCAAAGCTTCATAACGACATCCCTAGCATCATCTTTGGATTTCGTCGACAACGCATCGTCTTCACCTGTGACATAAAACAAATGTTTCGAAATATTTGGCTTCATCCAGATGATAGGAACTTGCAGCTAATCTATTGGCGAGATGATCCTTCTAAACCGTTGCAAATATTTAAACTTTGTACTGTTACTTATGGTAACAGTATTGGTACTGTATTGGTACTTATGGGCCTCTTCACCATTTCTTGCAAACCGTGTTGTCCAACAACTCATAGAGGATGAAGGTCAGCATCATCCCCTTGCAGCTGCTGCCTTAAGAGATCAGATATACGTAGATGACGCCCTTTTAGGATCAGATACTGTAGAAGAAGCACTTCTTCTGCAACAAGATGTTATTGATCTTATGGCAAAAGGAGGATTTTCTCTACGCAAATGGTCTTCCAATAATCACCATATACTAGATGCAATTCCAAAAGAACATCATGGAACTCCTATACAATTTTGTGCGCAAGATCAACCACTTTGTAACGTCTTAGGTTTGAAATGGCTCTCTGATATGGATGCATTTGTCTATGTAGTCAGTCCCACTACTACTCCATCCACAAAGAGATCAGTTTTATCTACTATTGCTCGTTTGTATGATCCGCTGGGCTGGCTTACACCTGTCATTTTCTGGGCCAAAACATTTATGCAACTACTATGGACTAAAGGAACCCAGTGGGATGATCCACTTCCAACAGAGTTAGAGTCAAAGTGGTCTGATTACACTCGAGAATTAGTTGCAGTTGAACAGATTCATATCCCTCGATATATGAACACTAATTCAAGTAGTCAGTTACAGCTACATGGATTTTCTGATGCTAGTGAAAGTGGATATTGTGCTGTAGTGTATTTAAGAGTTACCAATTAACGAAAACGTGAATGTACACTTATTAATAGCTAAATCTTGTGTTGCGCCATTAAAAAATGTATCCTTACCTAGGCTTGAGTTATGTGGTGCACACATGCTTTCCAAGCTTTTGGATTTTGCTTGTTCTCAGTTATTGAAACATTTCAAAATTGAACAGGTTTTCGCATGGTGCGAAGCTACAATAGTATTGTCTTGGATCAAAACCCCTGCATATAGACTCAAAACTTATGTTGCAAATAGAGTAGCTCAAATTCAAGAAGCTACCACTCCCATCATCTGGTCACACATTGCTTCTCATCAAAATCCTGCAGATTGTGGTTCTGGAGGATTACTTGCACCCCAGCTAATCAATCACAATCTATGGTGGACAGGACCCTTGTGGCTCAACACTCCACAAACTCAATGGCCTCAATCTTCTTTCTCAGTACCTTCAACTGAATCTTTACCGGAAGTAAAACCTGCTTCAGTAGATTCCTTGGTCATTACCACAGTACCAGCTTGTGAGATTTTAACAAAGTATTCTTCTTGGACAAAACTTGTACATGTTGTTGCTCTGATTTTAAGGTTCTATCATTGCTGTAGATCTAAAATCTTGACTTCAAAAGGATGTTACAATCAGCAGTTGTCATCAGAAAGTTCACTCAATAGTAAAGTTACCGAACCTTCTCTAAAGGAACTAGAAAAAGCTAAGAATCGCATAATTTTGCTTGTACAACAGGAAACCTTCTCTTGTGATATTGTTGCTCTTCAAAATAAGAAGCCACCTTCAAGTCGTCTACAGAAGCTGTCACCATTTTTGGATTCATCTGGTCTCATACGCCTTGGAGGAAGATTAAAACATGCAGCTATAAGCTACAATGCCAAACATCCGATTTTACTACCTAAGAGTCATTTTGTTACAAGACTTATAATAGAACACTATCACATTTCATACTTACACTGTGGTGCATTGCAATTACAGTCACTCTTGAGCCAAAAGTATTGGATACTATCAGCTCGAAGTGCTATTAAGTCACGAATTTTTCATTGTGTCCAATGCTATAAGACAAAACCTAAGCTGTCAACTTCAGTCATGGGCGACTTGCCAGCTAGCAGAGTAGTTCCCACTAAACCGTTTTCTACATCTGCTGTTGATTACGCTGGTCCAATCAACATTAAAGTACATAATCTAAGAAGACTTCAGTCGATAAAGGTCTACATATGCCTGTTTATCTGCATGTCCACTAAGGCTGTTCACATTGAAATGGTAACGGATCTTACATCTGATGCTTTCATTGCGGCATTGAAAAGGATTGTCTCTCGCAGAGGAATGATCAACCATCTCTATTCAGACAACGGCAGAAACTTCATCGGTGCTTCTCGTCAGCTTCAAGAAAACTTTCACAAGTTAACTCTGCAAGATTCAACAAAAAGATTCCTATCTGACCAGCACATTGAGTTTCATTTTATTCCTCCTCGTGCACCCCATTTTGGAGGTCTTTGGGAACGAGCAATTCAAAGTGTAAAGAAACATCTTCGTAGAGTAATTGGTGATAGTCTATTGAGCTATGAAGAATTCACAACCTTACTCTGCCAAGTAGAAGCTATCCTTAATAGTAGACCCCTGACACCACTTTCTTCTGAGCCTGGTGAACTTGAAGCTTACACCGGGACACTTTCTTGTCGGCGGACCCTTAGTAACATTACCTGAAACTGATGTAGCTGATATACCAACAAACCGCTTAGAGATGGCAACTAGTCAAGTCCTTCACCCAACGAATATGGAAGAGATGGCACAAAGAATATTTATACACATTGCAGCAGCGCACTAAATGGACAAAGTCTCACAAGAACTTAGAAGTGAACGACTTAGTTTTGATACATGAAGACAATCTCCCACCTCTGCAATGGAAACTTGGCCGTATCACCAAAGTCTTCCCAGGCAAAGACAACATAGTCAGAGTTGCTGAAGTTAACACAAGATCAGGACTTATAACTCGCCCTATAGTGAAGCTTTCCCCTCTTCCTGTAGATTAAGTTAAGTAAGCTTCAAAACCCTTTATCTTTTTTCTTTAGTTTTATTTAACAGTTATTTAATGATTTTTTTTTATTCTCAGTTTTTGTTACTCAATAGTTACATTGATTTTAGTTCTGTTTTTGAGTTTAATTTGTTACCATGTATTGTTGAACTAAATAGTTCAAGGGGGCCGAGATGTTAAGTATTTATCAGTTTTCTTTATTTCATTCATATTTAAATTATTAACTCAATCAAAATTCACTAACCAATGTTTAGGTTTACAATTTATTATTATTAGTTTAAATTACAATTCATTTCAATATTTACTAATTATCATATGTTATCAAATTATATTCACATTGTATCTAAAAATAATATTTAATTAAAATTGGCAACACTGTAAATGCAAGCAGTTTAACTACTAGATGTCCAACAATTAAAATTTAAAAACAAAACATGTGACTGTGTGAATGAAGATAAACAAATGAAGACAAAATGAGAATGAACTAAGAGAAGATGTAGGAAGAAAGTGTCAAACAAAATTCAAGAAAATTCATTATAACATTATATTGTATTCCATTTCAAGAAGAATTGAGAAATAACAGTAAGTGATTCCTTTCATGTAAACACAACAAAATACAGTCCACTTGTTACAATTCTATAACTATTTTTCTTCAATCTATTTTAGTCACTAAATTAATTCATGTTTCAATCAATTATCAAAATTTGTGGTGGCGACAACAAAAATAAACACCTGTTGTTTTGGCACAAGTGCTGTCATAACACCTGTTGTTTTGGTTCAGTTTTACAATTGAGTTTTGGTGATTTCCTCTATAGACAGATTTATGTTTATTTGTAGTTTTAATCAAGTTTAAATGTAGGCCTACATTTAAGTTCATTAAAAGAACATTTGTACATTTACTACGTAAACACGCTACACTTTTATAATAGTTAGGCCTACAATAAAACTGTTTTATCTCTTCTGCGTTGTGGCCACTCCTGCTGGCCTTCCGATCGCAAAGGGCTAATGTATAAATTTGCTTTATAGTCTTCAACATTCTAGGCATAGATCTACGGCAATTATTGGAAATCGTTATTTTTAGATTATGACTATCCAATTCATGGCTGTCTCGACAAGGAAATACTATAAAATACAATACTGCTACAATTTTAATATATAGGTATTTTACCTATACATAAAACATTTGAATTCCTTTGTATAGTTTAACTTATTACACAATAGTGTAGCACATTGTTGTTGAGTTTCTTAAGCCAGGATGAACTCTTTCCATTCACTTACTTTGCTATCCCAACATAAATCTTGTAAACCTACGCCCTTGTATTTTAGTTCAGTTCCCTTCCAGTTCTAGTTGTTTGATTAGGTATTTGTCAGTCTGGCTTATCATATTTTTTGCAGGACATGGACGCAGGTAGTTGTGGTATCGAGTGCCCATGATGCTGCGTGTCTGCCCATATTCCCCACACCTCCCTCTCTCAGTGTGCGACCTACCAGCTCGTCTCCCCTCCACATGGTGGCTGACCCCGCCCTCCTCAACATTAGCGGACTTGTCCTTGGTGTAACTGCTACTGACTCCTTGATGCACCTCAGCAAGGAAGAGCTCTCATTGTAAGCTGTGTGAACTGATTATCTTGTATATTGCATGATGTTATTTGTGTTTAACATCTATAAATATAAAATATAAATATAAAATAAAACTATTATTCTATCAAATGTTCTAACATAAACAGGGCAGCTGCAGAGGCGCTGATACAGTCAGTTTACACAGTATAATTATTTTCCATTAACTGAAAAAGATGTTTTCGCCACGGCTGATGCAGAATTCAACCATGTTTTTGTTACCGTTTTTCAGTAACTTCTAGTTTAGTAGGATCCATTTTATAATTTTTTTTTTAATGTATTACTATAGACTCTCGTATTTGTTAAATCAAATTAGGGGTTTCCTTTCTAATATTCAATTTATAAATGTGTTTGTCTTTTTTAATTTCTAGTAGATGTAGGTAATAGCATCGAACAAATTTTAAATACTTTGTATATTGCTTAACAATGGTTTAGAAGAACTCTTCCCCCGATCACAGATCAACAGTCTATCCGGGGGAATAATTCCATGTAATATATTGTTCTATTATTGTACTGTTTAATTTTTGGAATAAAAGTAATTTGATTTGATTTGATAAAAGTATATGAAGAAATCTTTTACACGAATATATTCAAGAAGTTAATTTTAATTTTCACCACAATGTTCTATAATGCGGTTCTAGATAATAGCACTCACAATACCTGATGTTTTAAGTAATTTAACATAATGGGTATCTTAATACTAAATGACTCTGTACATAAGTCATTCGTGAATCTTCCTTACAGCACTGGCTAAGAGTGTTGCAATTCGAAATTTAACTTCTTCACTCATGGTTTAAAAACTTTATATTTACTAAATAATGTCATGAATCGTAAACAAATAATTATTTACAGAAATTATTTACACGCAATAATCAACGCACACACTAAATGCACACGGAAGTTGCCTCCAGGCTGTACGAGAATCGACAGGGCGCACACGGAAGCTACTTCCAGCCTCTTACAAAACTAACAAATATAAAATAGTAGGGGTGAGTTTTGACCTTCACTCGATTCCAGGAATGAGGTGCGTGAGGTACAGTGACACTCACACTGCCGACACCACTCAAAATAATATAATCGTGAAAAATAAAACATCCCTGGAGGTTACTTCCGTGATGCGACCTCTGGAAGGTTAAAGAACGATCTCCAATAATACTAATGCGAAACTGAAATCCACCCAAGCTGTGCAATGGAACCAGCCTGACGATTAAAAAAGTGACACCAAACTTGATCAAAGCAACAATCATCAGTGATAAGTTTAAAGGAGAAATAGTCTTAATCCCAAGAATACCGATGATTTAATCCGAATTACCCTTTGCATTCAAGTGACTATTTCCTTTGCGTCTTGCTTTCGCAATCACCATTATGCGGCACAAGGGCAATTCCTGACTATCGCCAGTTTAAATTTAGAAAATGCATGCTTTTCACACGGACTGCTGTATGTTGCATGGTGCATGGTGGTTGGTAGGTAGGTCTAAAAATTTATATATTAATACACTTAATGAAAAAAACAAAAAAACATTGTTTATCTACACAATGCGCGACGGGTAACTGCTAGTACTTTATAAACTAGAAAGATCCATATTTATTATTTAATATAGCTGTGTGTTGGCATTGCATAAATCTAATGAAACTGTAATTAATGGTTTTCAAGGCGATTTAAGACGTCTTAAGCATTTTTTAGCTTTATTGTTTTCTTTAATAACTCCAACTCATTGTTAAAACATATATTTTACACGCATTTCACATCCCAATAAAGTACCATAACCCCTAACCACTAAATATAAAAGACCTCCGTGTTACCCAAGATTCTCAGTAACCGAGGTAGTCTCGGTCCCAAAAATCACAGTAAATCGAGAATGAACTCTAGCTTTAAGGAAATATTAGAAAATGCACATGTTTGGGGGCCGACTGAACAGGTCTGCTAGTGGGCATTCGTAGAGGTCCCAGGCCTATATAAGGCTGTAAGGCTATAGGCCCTAAATAGCTTCCGAAATTTGTTTGACGTCATCCAGATTCTTTTAACTTTGTGGAAGACGATGATACCTTAGCAATTGCAGGGATGTTGAAAAATTCCTCGCAGTAGTGGGCATCAATGATGATGTTTTCGAAATTGCAGAGGATACATATGATTTTGTTATGGTTGTGGGAGATAGTGATGATTTATTTGTAATCTCCTTTGCGAAATGCTATCAATTTCTCTGTGATGATAAATATCTATCCAACATTCCTTGTTGTGTTCCAGTCCACCAGGAGGCAGTGATAGATTGGGTCGATTGGCGTCACATCTACTGCAGCAACAGAGCTTCTACCCTCTCCAACCCCCTTGCGAGGACCTGACTGTTGACTCCGAGCTATGGGATATCCATGCTTGTTTCCCTGTAACCCCTCATGTGCTGGTCGTGCCATCAAATTTAAGGTTTGGACAGGTCCATCGTGTTTCAATCAGTTCAGCTCATTGAATATTTTGAATATATTTTATTGAATATTTTTAAAGCTACTCGTTTAGGATTAACAGCGTGTTACAACTAAGAAAAAAATTACTTGCGCTGTACATCCTGCATTATGTAGCTCCTAAACAAGTAAGTTTAGGGCGAAAATGCTAAGAGTAAATAAGTCTTAAAATTGCATCTACATACTAAAAAGGCATAAAATACACAGTTTTTCTATTTTCAAATCTGTCATTATGGAAAATGAAATCAATATTTTGTATGTATTTTATGATCTATTTAGACTCATTATTTTCTCTCTAAACCTACTAAATTTAGGAGCTACTTGACACAGAATGTATACCACAAATCATTTGTCCTTAGTTGTGACTCGCTGTAACTCCTAAATGAATAATGAATAAATGAATTTATTTCCATTGAGAACAAACTTATTACATGTATTTACAGTATTTGGAAATTGACTGGCCGCTTTTCAAGTAGTGCGGTCAGTTAGAAAAATAAATACAATAAATTATAACATATTTTGAGTCTAGCATCATGCATTAAAAATACTCTCATGCCGCCATTTGGGTATCTACTAAATTAAAATATAAATAAATAACAATGTAAGTGTTGTAAATTATACTAGCACACTTTAATAACACTTAAATAACATCTTAAATAACTAATTATAAATAATAAATAACAATAATTATAGGTAATAAATAACAAAACAACAATAATTATAGGTAATAAATAATAAAACAACAATAATAGTGGAAACTTAACGAAAGGTAGATAGTCATTTCATTCTTACAGGCAACTATTGACCTACATTTGCCTTTGGTACCATATCTATGAGATAACATTGCTTAAATAATCGATGTTTTGTTGTGCAGTAAGCCAGAGATTCAATTGTTTGGAGAATGATTTTAGATTTGCGAGATTTTTAATGTTTGAAGGAACTTGATTAAAATACTTCGGTCCTAAATACTCAAAGGAATGGCGAAAAATTGATTTATTGACTTTGGGTAGTCTGAAATTATTTAGACGTACATACCTAGTATTGTAATACACATTGTCACTAACCACATTTCCACTCCTTATAAAAAATAATCTCTGGACCTTGAAAACAAAAAGATGTTGAATAGGTTTAATATTTAAATGCTTATAAAGAGGGAAAGAAGATTCGGTTTTGAATTTGTTTAAAATTATACGTAAAAAGTAGTTTTGGGTGGTTCTCAGTTTATCTATCAAATATTTATAAGTTCTGCCCCAACATATTAATCCATATTGTAATCTAGAGTTTATTAATGCAAAATACAGTGATCGTAACAAATCAATACTACAAATATTCCTTAAAAAATAAAATGTTCTAATGGAAGACCTTAATTTTGCATGTAAACTAAGTATATGTTGATCAAAACTCATTTTTTCGTCCAAAATAATTCCTAGATATTTAAATTTGTTTACTCTTTCTAAAGGTTGGCAGTCGCAGACTACTAAATTACATGAAGCAGAATGATACGTGAGAGGAAAAGGTATTTCAAAACCTGAAAGATCAAAATTGACATATTTTGTTTTATTTGCATTTATTTGCATTCTGTTTTGGAGGCACCTTTGTCTTAACAACAAGAGATCGTGATTGATTGACTCACCAAGTATTACAGAATCTTTATTGCAGTAAAATATTGCTATGTCGTCCGCAAAAGCACTGACATTCCCCTTAAAATTAAGTTCCAATAAATCATTTATAAAAATTAGAAATAAAATACCAGAGGTCACTGACCCTTGCGGAACACCTGACTCAACTGTTTTCGCAGAGCTGTAATGATTTAAACATTTTACTTTTTGTTTCCTTCCTACTAAGAAACTTCTGAACCAACACAACTCAGTTCCCTTAATACCCAACGCTTCCAATTTACCTAAGAGAATATCATGATCAACTAAATCAAACGCTTTTTTGAAATCAATAAAAAGTCCTGATGTTTTACAATTTGAGTTTAGGCTATTGAATATTTGTTCTGTGACATTTAATAAAGCATCTTCAGTTGATTTACCCCTTACAAAACCAAATTGATTACCGCTAAGAAAGTTAATTTTCATCAAATACTTATTCAACCTTAACATCATTAACTTCTCAGATAATTTAGAAAAAACTGAAAGTAAACTAATTGGTCTTATATTGTCTAGTTTTGAAGAATTTTTATCTTTTAAAATTGGTACGACGGAACTCAATTTCAGGCTTTCGGGAAATATGCCCAGACTAAAACTCTTATTGACAATATGTGTTAGTACTGGCACTATGTCATCTATAACAAATTTTAGTAGTTGCGTAGAAATATTATCATATCCTGAAGATTTTTTATTTTTTAGACTTTTGACTACTAACTTTATTTCGTCTTCTGAGGTTGGTGCGATAAAAAATGATTGTTGTGAGGTGCGTAGTGGAAGCATATTTGTGGTCGAAACTCTTCTAGGACGGTCAGCTTGTACAGAGATAAGGTAATTGTTTATCTCCTCTACGATAACGGATGGGTCGGTTGCATAAGTTCCATCTGATAATTCAACCTTCTTAATATTCCTATCTGACACTTGCCCTGTCAAACTATTTATTATTTTCCATTGTTGTGATATGTTATTGTTTAATAATAGTTTAGAATAATATTGTTGTTTTGCAATACATATTTTCTCATTCAAATTATTACAAAATTTAGTATAGAAATTTCTGAAAGTTGTGTCATATAAACGTCGCTTACTAATTCTATAAAGCTTTTTGCGCCTATTAATGCCATTCAAAATATCGAGAGTTATCCATGGGCTCAATGATTTAGCTTTTTGCACTCTACTTTGCCTGTTGACCTTTTTACAACTTGTTACAACTGAGCACAGTACATCATTAAACTTACAGTAACAGCTATTTACATCTTCATCATTATATACTATGTCCCAGTTAATCACTTTCAATTAGGGATGGACGGGATTAAATTTTTAGTTCGGGACGGGACGGGATTTTTATTTCCTTCCCGATTTTCGGGACGGGACGGGATGGGATTTTTTTCTGTGCATAAAGAGAAAGTACTGTACTGCAGTTACCAAAAAAGACATACGAAATCAATTTTTACCATTTGTGGCACTGATCTATAAAAACCAAAAAATGGGTAACAATTTACAGGTACTTATAGAAACTTGTGACTCGCGGGTCACGGGGTGATCATCTGTATGACTCACGGTCACGGCGCGATTGTCGGTATGACTCCGCGGTCACGGGGTTATCGTCGGTATGACTCCACGGTCACGGTGCGATCGTTGTCATGACTCGCGGTCACGGGCGCGATCGTCGGTATGACTCGCGGTCACGGCGCGATCGTCAGCATGACTCGCGGTCACGGCTCGATCGTCAGCATGACTCCGCCATCACGGCATGATTGTCAGTATGACTCCGCCATCACGGCATGATCGTCAGTATGACTCCGCGGTAACGGCGCGATCGTCGGTAGGACTCCGCGGTCACGGCGCGATCGTCGGTATGACTCGCGGTCACGGCGTGATCGTCGGTATGACTCGTGGTCACAGCGTGATCGTCGGTAGGACTTTGCGGTCACGGCGCGATCGTCGTTATGACTCCTCGGTCACGGCGTGACTGTCGGTATGACTCCGCGGTCACAGCCCGATCGTCGTTATGACTCGCGGTCACGGTGCGATCGTCGGTCCAATAATCGCGGCCACGGCGCGATCGTCGTTATGACTCCGCGGTCACGGCGTAATCGTCAAAATGACTTCGTCTCCTGCGTTCGCGGACCTATCGCTAGCAATAACGGCGTTATCGGTACTCGCGAAGCGGAAAAATCGCCGACGATCGGACCAAATCTCGTCCTGAAAAATTCCCGAGTCAAATGTAATCCCGTCCCAATAATCGGGAATATTTTTTTCCCGAAAAATTCCCGAAATTTCGGGACCCGTCCATCCCTACTTTCAATTTATCTTTTACTAAATCAAAATCAATTTGAATACTATCGTTATCAAACTTAGGTATGCTTGTTACACTACTGTGAGATTTCCATGAAAACCACAGTCTATGGACAAGTCCTAGAATACAATGATCTGTAATGCCATGATCAAAAACTGCACTATTAAAGTTATTAATGTCTTTGCTTCTAATAAAGATGTGATCTATACAAATTTTAGATGTAACAGTAATTCTGGTTGGGGTGTTAACTAATGATGTGAAACCTTGATTATGAAGTATATTGAGGTAGCTATTTACAACAGGTTTATTGTCTAAAATATTTATGTTGATGTCGCCTAAATAGACTACATTGTTATGCATATTTTTAATTACATCAGTTAATTCTGTTATAAACAAATTTTCTGAAATGTTTTGGAGCCTATATAGGCAAAATAGCTTAAAGTAAAATTTATTTACGGTAACATGTAACAATAAGGCATCAGCTGAAGTCATATTTATTTGTAATTTCTTACAATCTATACTATTGTCTAAATAACATATAACACCAATGAATGAACCAGCTGATGTAAATTTATAAAGTTGATAAACATTTTGCTCTTCAATTTTCAGTGATTATTAGTGAATAATTTTTAAATTAGCTTTTAAACAGTGTTTCAAAAAGATCTTTAAGAAGACAGGTTTTATACTAATAAGTATTTTATACATTATACTTCTATATCATTAATAATTCTCACAACTTAAACTCATCTAACCTCTAACCCCAAATATTCATTTTATTTGTTTTCAAAATAATATTATTGGTTTATTTTTATTTAAAATTCTTTTATCAGCTGAACCAGCCTTCTTCATGCAAAGACCAGAGCTCATGTTTACCTTATAATAACCTCAATTTTTCTTTTCTTTGAATTGGAAATCTTTTATAAAATGTCACAATTGACCTCATCAGGTGTATCAAATTCCATCCCCACAAACAGAGATCCCAGATATTTCAGACCCACATACACATCTCATGACTCGTCG